ACATGATTTTAATTTACCTGTGGACAAAGTCAGTAAGCCAATGTCACATTATCTTATATGAAATACATATCATCTTTTAGTAAAGCTTTACTGTTATGTTTACCTAAAAGTTCTATATAAAAAGCACAACTCTAGTATTTTCTTTCTATACCTAAATGGATATATATACCCAAATATGTGAACCACTGCTTCTGCTTATAGGCTTGGTTGTAATTTAGGTATGATGCAGTTGGTCATGGTAATATTTACCAGTTTATGACCTACTAGCTTCCCTGCAACTAGATTCTTGTGACTTTCATTTAAATTTCAAATGTCTTCAAATGCTGTATTCATTTAACAATATCTTTTAGTTTTCTCTTACAGAGGGCTAGTATAGAGGCCATAAATAGGGTCTACTAGCCCCTTCTGACATCATTTCTTTTCCCACTTACCTTTGTAGTGCCCACCCACTGAGAGTATGTTCACCTTCTAAACCACTTGTCAGTCAATTCAGTCATGTGAATTGCTTTGGTCAGTGTGATATTAAGACATTTTACAAACAATAGCCTGAAAGTGACTTCTTTACTGAAGTTTGTTCTTTTGTGCTCCTGTCATTGTCATGAGAAAGACAAGCCCAGGCTAGTTAGTGGTTCTTGGAAAAGGATTAAAAATACCTGGAGCCAAGCTATGTTGTCCCTGTGATCCTACAGGATGGCAGTCTAGATCAGTCAGTGGCCATCTAGCCTACAGATGGATGAGCAAATCCAGATACAATCAAATCTGAGCACTGGTGAGATAAGTAAAAGCAGCCTCATGACTTCAGACCCAATAAAGAATGATTGTTTCACAGGTTTTTCTTGGATATGAAAAAACAAAACAAAAAACCCAGAAAGAATGGTTGTTATTTTAAACTATTAAATTTTATATTTTTTTAACATCACAATAACTAATTAATATTTGTTAGTCTCCACATTTTACTGGTTAAACTCTGATTTTCCATCCCGGCATGTGCAAATTCAGGAATCATGGAAAGTAAACTTCACTGACTTGAAATTTATGTGCTCTTTGCATTCTGGCTTTCACACTTTCCAGTCCTAAGCTTTCATTACCTTTCCGCACTATTTGATACTGTTAATATTTACATGCTTCTCAGATTTTCTGTGAGTTAATACTTTCCCTCTATACTGTGTGCACGTATGAGTATGTGTGTGTATTTGTGTTTGTTCTTTTATGGTTACTCTTCCATAATTTTCTTGAGTTCTTCCTATGTTTTCATCAATTAATAATAAAGACTCTAGATTTCTTCTATTATCTCTTCTGTTCCCATCATTCTAATTTTTACCACTAAAAATGACATAACCTGGGAGCATGTCTAATATTTCTAATTACAATAAATGTAAGTGAGCTGAGTTATCATAAAAGATAGAAATGGCTAGATTCAGCAACAAAAAGTCTCAGATTCTCAATAACATAAATAATTTTTATCTTATATTACATATTCTTAATTACAAATGCTGTAAAATTTAAAATCATTGACAAATACAATGGCAATGACAAATCTAAAATAAATCAATACATTCAAAATGTAAAAACACAGTTTGCAGTTTCCAATTCTTCTATGTAAAGAAAAAGAAAAGCCATGACAGAAATTACAAAGTATCTGCAACTATATAATAATGAAAATACTGAATGATTTTGAAATTATTTCAGGGGTAGACAAAAATTGGAAAAAAATATCAATAATCAGAGACAGCTCCATAACTATAGGAACACTAGCCATGTGATAGAAATAATGTTACCTGTCATGGATCAGTAGGTGAACAGTGCTATCATTTCCATTTTGAAAAGAAATCAAGTTGGGCCTTTATCTCATATACACAATAAATACAAGTAGATGAAAATCCTAAATGTGAAACCATAATATGCAGGAATATATTTTTAATATTTTATATATCTTTATGACAATCTTTATGGAGTTGTATATCCCTTCAGAAAGTATTAGTATATGGAATATAAAGGTACTTCCATATCTCAATCAGAAACAAACAATCTAAAAGAAGAGTAAGTGAAACAAACAGATAGTTCATGAAAAGGTCCAGTGGAATTTTAAATAAACATACAAAAATGTTTTAAATATCATGTTAACAAAAATCTACATGGTAGAACTGTGAATCCTTTTCCTCCATGGCTGATATGACATATTCTGTCTAGATCAAACTATAGAAAACAAAGTTTATCACTGCTAGTGAGACTATAAATGTTTTCAGTTTGACACTATCTTTTAATTTAAACATGAACATACAATAAATTACAGTACTTCCACTAGCCTATTCTACCCCTGTGGCCAAATCTTCTCAGCTGCCCAAAATAACTTTTCTTTGGAACATACCATGCTCATAAACTTAGATATTGTTTATGCTTGGTTATGCATTATAAGATCAGAGATGATAGCTGTGATCCTCATTTCAACTCCCATAAATACTAAAATGTTAACTAATTGGCCCCTTACAGGAAAAGATTGCTGACCTCTGGTCTAGAGTAACTCTCATACCTTTCTACAGGAAAGTGTTGAACCAGACTATTCATAACAAGATGGCTTATGACAAACTGGAAGAAGAGAAAATATAGAACAAGGAAAAAAGATGACAATATTGTAAAATAGTCTCAGCACTACAGCTGAGAAAATGAATCAAAGTGTTAGAGATATTGCTATGAATAAGCCCCAACAAAGTAACTACAAAGTATAATTTTCTGAAGACTATATATAACATGATAGTACTTACATAAATGTTTGAAACCTGTGGCTCAATACATTTCTTTATGTAGTTAATTTGTAAGTGCATGTTTAGGAAAAACCCAAGATAATTCTTCCTTCAGGGATTAGGGGAATGTAATTGAGAGTGAGGGCTCTTGTAACATTCTTTTATTTGTGTCTGGAAACAAAATAAAATAGAGCACAAATGAAAGCCATGGTCCTTTTTTGAAGATTTGCAAACTACTAGGGAAGCAGAGAAGCAAACATGTCATTGCAAAAAAAAAGAAAAAATCTTTTCGATTTGTTGATACTGGAGTTTGAACCCAGGGCCTTGAACTTGATATGCAGGTATTATTCCACTTGAGCCATACCACCAGCCACGCAAGAAGAATAAGCTTGCAGTTATGGAGAGCTTTGCTTATTCTAGGTGTTAAAGGAGCTGGATGTAGCCAAGCAGGTGGAGGATTTGCTGTGTTTGGGGAATGGCAGGGAGTGTGTGGACTTTTAAAGTTGTCTAGAACATTAATCTTGTGGGAGTGGGAGATAAAGACACAGATCGTGTTGCATAGACTGGCTGGGTCCACGTGGGACACAGTGAGGATTCAGAAACAAATAATGTGTATGAAAACAAGTTTTCAGAAAAGACCCTGAGACTGTCTGTTTGTAAACTTTGAATACCTGCTATGTGCTAGGTCTCTAGCCACATCAATGGTTTCTGAAACAGATAAAACTTATTCAAATCTTTCAGAAATGGAAAAATTGAATTTGAAGTTTTCTAAAAAGTTTTAAAATGTCTTCAGTTTGCCTGGAAAAATAAATGCACATGGATTAGTCTGGAATTTGAGGGACCATTGTTGGAAAGAAATGCTTTCATAAAATCTTATAATAGTGCAAAGATTCATCTTTTAACAAAATTTTTCTATTTGCATTTCATTTAGATGGAATTAAATATTACACAGTAAATAACTAGACCACAGTAAATACCACAGTAAATAACTAGACTGTAGATTGGATTTTTGAATTTTTCTCCAAAGTATTAGAGACATAGCCTTTGCCTAGTGTTCACCTCCTACTTGTGTGCCATTATCTGTGCTTTACACTTCTTATTATCATTACCCATTCAAATTTTGATGGATCAGTGGGGATAGAATTGATTCAGATTTGTACATATGATATGAAATTTTCATATTACGGCATCATTAATGTCTTTTTTTTATAAAAACTATTTTAGTTTAATGGAATTGCTGATTGCTGAGGAGTATTTTGAAGCATATGATGACTGGTTTTGTGCTCAAAATTTGTGAATTTCTAATTTCAGGTGTGCAATTGAACATTAAATTATTTCTAACGTTTTGCACAAACACATATTGATAAAAATTCTAATGTGCAATAAATTGGCAGTATTAATTTAGTGTTGTGAATTGTATGTCTCATCTAAATTGCATAGATTCTCTTGAGAATCAGAGACAGAGAAAGGAAGAAGAAAGGAAGAGGGAGAGAAGTTTAGCTAAATTAAAGGATTGGAAAATTATAACAGAGATATACAGTTGGTTTGTATGAATATTTTAAAGGACATTTTATGTGAAGTAGTTTACTTGAAAAATATTTGGAATTTAAGTGGTCTAAGAACTTGACAAAGCTCTTGTACTACAACTAATTTCATAAACAAACTTTATTGAAATTATTATTCCCTAACACATTTTTTGGCTATTGACATATCTCGCTATTTTTTAAGATAAAAAAAGTATACCCTACAGTTTCTTTGACAACAGGGAATGATGACTCATACAGATCTGGCCGTGTGCCTAGAAGTTGTTTTGTTCTCTTTATTTTTAGATTATTTGTTCATTTATTTTTTGTTATTGGGAAGGCTATCTGCTCATTTTTTTCTTGAGATACCTTCCTTAAAACAATCCATCCAGACATTCCCCTAGCATATACCCTTTATTACCAGTTTTAAGCTGTGCAGTAGAGCATTTTGCTTAAGACTTGTTCAACTTGAAAGAAGCCAGATAAAATAAATGTATTCTCTTCTTTCACAAGAATATGTAGGTAACTGTGTAAATACATACAGCTCATCCAAATTGTAAGAAGAAATATTTATTATTGAGCTAAAAAGATCTTTCTGATGAAAAATTACTTCTGTCAATATAGATGTCCTTGTAAACTACTTAGAACATTATTTTGTTGGAATTTTATAATGTCTTATTATATCTAAAACATTTACTCTTTTCAAAGGAAATGCCATTTTGTATTTCAGGAATACACAATAGATGTTTTCTTTAGACAAAAATGGAAAGATGAACGTTTAAAATTTAAAGGACCTATGAATATCCTTCGACTTAACAATTTAATGGCTAGCAAAATCTGGACTCCAGATACCTTCTTTCACAATGGGAAGAAGTCAGTAGCTCATAATATGACAATGCCAAACAAGCTGCTTCGCATCCAGGATGATGGGACTCTGCTGTACACAATGAGGTGTGTGGCTGGCTTTCATGTGCTGCATCTGATGCTGAGAAACCCATATGTTAAAGATCTACTCAATCTAGTTGTCAAATATTAGCCAAAGTTGAACATTTCCCTAACAGATTATTAAAATACCCATAATATGCTTTCTCAATGTTTGGATATGTAAATATTCAAAAATAGTACTCATGAATTTAATGTTCATGTTAGTGTGGTCAAGCTTAAAATTTGCTTTAATTATTAAAAATTATGGTTTTGGTTAATTATGCTTAATTATATATTTTAATTAAGTACAGTTTTAATGCCATAACTTAGATTTTATTTATTCCAGCACACAATTACTCTTTTTACATCCCAGCAGATATCCTATCAAAATTTTCTGTTATTTGTAAGCAAGATTTTACTTCCTTAATATTTTCTAATAAGTATGAAGCTACTCTATAGAAAAAATGAATTCAGTTTTTATTTACTAAGCATACCGAATACCATAAACATATGAAATTATCATCTTATAGTCAAAAAGTGTCATATAGAATCAGTTTCATGGGATTCAAACTTTAATGAAATTATTGAAAGAAAAATAGTTAATTTAACAACTATTCCATTTAACTATTCTCATGAATTAGTATTTTTAAATCAATTACTAGTATTATGTAAGAAAGAAGAAAATCATAATTTAGTAAAATCATGTAAAATAGAAAGTTTAGTGTTTAATGAAGTTTTTAAGCATCAAGCACTATCACTAGCATTATAGATGTGCAGACATTATGTCCCATACATATGAGGTGTTATTTCATTTGAAAAGTTAAATGCTACATTTCAGTTACAGAGGTTAACAAGAACAATAATATAGTCCTGTGCTATTCCTAATCTTTGAATAAAACTCTTGAGGATGGATTATTAGATGGTCATTGCCTACAATTAAATTGTTGACGAGTCCTTCTGCCTTTCTCTAATTCTTGTGATACAGTCAGATGTAGTAGTACCTTTGAAAACTTTATGCTTTAGTCATTTATTTGTTTAAGGCAATGCTCAGAAATACAGGCTTTAAACAAAATATAGATGCAGAGCATACAATTTTAGAGAATATTACATGAGCTTTTATTTAAATATTCCTTTAGAGTATTTAAGTCATAATAAATTGTTGACTTCATGTGCTCTGCTCAATTAGGACAAATTTTCCTATGAGTCACACTTAATGCCTGCTTTTTCCACTTTGCCTTTATTTGAAGTGGAATAATTGGAAGCTCTCGCTATAAAAATTTTTCTATGATTACTCTTTTTATGATCTTTATTATATTTAGATATAGAAAAGTCATTTAACATTCACAACTTGTGTTCATAATTAAGCCAACAATTCAGTCTTAACAAGATATTTCTAAAGAGATACATCTCTGCAGGAATTTGTATCTATTTCTGTATTTACTTCTGTGTATCTATATAAAAAGTATATGATACTTATTCAAAATTGTTGCATTTTTTTTGAGGAGAACTCCTATGAACCACTATGAAACTTTTATATGCACTTTGTTTATACAGTTGTTGATGAGATCATAGGGGAAATGGAATCATTTTCATTATAGAGCTTTTATAATTTCTTTAAGATTTTAAATGTTAATAATGAAGTTAATTGGAAAATAGGGCTTTAATATGCAGATATAATTTCTTATTAACAAATACAGAGTAGATAATGGCTGAGTAAAACACACTTTTTAATAGTAATTATTGTAATTTGTATTCATATTTTATATACTTTAATTTATTGTCTCCTAAATGTGAAAGAACAGAAATGTATCTAAATGTAAACTACACTAATACAAAACTGTAAAAAAAGTCCTACTTTATCAATTTTACTGACAATAATTGACAGGTGATTTTTCTTGACTTGCCAGTTTAATTAAACCAAGAGTGGAACTTTGACTTTTAGGCTTACAGTTCAAGCTGAATGTCCAATGCACTTGGAGGATTTTCCGATGGATGCTCATTCGTGCCCTCTGAAATTTGGCAGCTGTAAGTACAAGGATGAAAGTATATACTTGGGGTCAGTGTTGTCAGGGATGGCCAGTAAAGCTGCTGGATTGTGTAATTTCTTCTCATATTACGAAATACATAATATTTGCCCAATAAAATACAGAAGTAAACGTAAAAAGGGAAGTGGTTCACTAGTCCCATAGTACTAACAATTATTTTGATCATGGTGTTTAAATGATCACTTCTCTTACTATTAATAAAGTACACTATGTAGTTTAGTACATGTGTCAAACTAAATCAGGAGCTCTTGTAAGGTCAGATCCATAAATTAGTGTTTCCTAGCACTCAAATTTTAAAAAAGGAAAAATAAATTTTTTTTTCATCAACTAAGAATGAATTGTAAAAGACATATTCTATTGCCTGTTTGTCGTCAGCCTGTGGTAAAAATTCAGTCACAGAAACTGAGCCTGCACAGTTGCTTTTTTACTATCTAGCTGATGTTAGGGATTTTTTTCCATTAAGATGAATTTAAAGGATATGATGTCATTGGATTTTTACATGTAGGCACTTTCTTTATACATTGAACATTTTGTGTAGGGCTCTGTGCCTTTGACCATTCCTTTAGGTTATATCTTGTATGTCAAGCAGAAGCATGTGCACTGCTAGAAAAACAGAAAAGGGGGAAGGTCAGCTCCTCTTCTTGGACTCACAGGACATTCCAGACAGGCTCAGAATAAATCCATGAACTCAGCTAAGAAGCTGCCCTTTTGTGTGAGCATGTCCCCTTGCCTGACTTTTTTAGAAACTATGCTTTTACTGGCATCCTCATCTTTGCCTATTCTGGACAGGACAGTATTTGTCTCCACCCACCCACATTGAATAGAAATGCAGAGTTCTCAACTGTTTAAATTTATGTATGACTGAGGAGTGCACCTTCTCCTCACAGACTATATCAGGGGAAAGAAAAGGAAGAATTATAGCTAGTACAAATGCAAAACATTAATTACTTTAATGGCTATAGTTCTGTAGAGCAAGAAGGTCAGTCTTGTTTGTTCTGAACATTCTTACAAAAGATGTTAGTTCTCAGTTTTTTGGGGGAATCACCTCTTTGTTTCATCACAAAGTCTTTCTATATTGTCATGGAAACCATCACTTCAACTTTGGCATTTCTTCCAACATTATTTAAAGTAGTCAGTTGTGTTATACAATGTAAACATGATGCTGAAAACACCACAGCAGATGTAGCAGAGAAAAACTCATTTGCATTGCATAAGTGGCATTAAAGAGAATCTTGAGATGCCTTGGTACCACAGAAAAAATTTATGCAAGATGTTGTAAGGATACAACAAGGAAAGGTATTTTTCAATGGATAGCTTATTGTTATCATGACATCACATGTAAATGTTGTGATATCTCAATACTTAAAATGAAATAAATTTGCTTGAAAATATTTTATGTGAAATTAAAATCCAGATACAGTGCAGCTACAGAGTAGTGGAATATTGCATGCTTGAAATTATAGTTTTCTGTACCCAGGAATCATATAGTCAACACACAATTTTTTTGTCCAGCATTCTCTTTTTAAGTAGTCATTATATATTTTGGTTTCTTTATATTCATATTCAGATCTATTGAATAAACAATTTGAATACTCTCCTATTTATACTTGTGTACAGTATATAAGCACTATGATGCATACATGTTAAAGAACTGGACAGCAAAGTGGAGTGACAGACAGTAAACCAAGCCAAACTTTAATGTGTTGGCACAGGAAAATTTGACAGACCAATCATGATTTTTCTTCTTGCTACTTCTTCCTCTGTTTCTTAAAAGTCCTTCCCACCCTGAATTTCTGAAAATTTACCATCTTACTCAAATAAAGAAGGACCTTTTCTATAATTTTATATCTAGTCTCATTTTTCATTATTTCTATGGCCTTACTTCTTTATGTTTTTCCTCAATTCATTTGTGTCAAAACTTACTGAATGGAAGTCTAGATTTATTCTGTGTGTTAGCCTAAGGAAATTAAATTTTTTCTGTTAGGGTGAAAGTTAATACTTAAACAATGATTTAGGAGTATTTTTCTTGGTTACCAAATATTAAGAGTTTGTTAGTATTTGTGTGTTGTAACAATATAGACTCAAACATGGGTTATTGAATTAAATTAAATAATTTGTCAACCTAATTCAGAGGTGGAATTTCTAACAAATTTTCTCTCTATTTGTACTTTATTGAAAAACATTGTGATGGCTTCTTGGTTAACCTGTGCGTTCATGCACTGAGGAGTACTCTTGTCTACCTTGCATGATTTTCTGATACATGTTCTCTCATCAGACCCAAAAACCTAAAAAATAAAATGCAGTACATTCCTGCCTAGTGAAATGCATTAGCTTTTTTTAATAGACTAGTGAAGGATCAGGAATTGTCTATAATGAACTGTTTGGTTCTTCAGATTCCCATCTTTCACATTAGAGAACAACATAATTAAAATACTGAGTGTATTCATTAACATAACAAGAACAATCTTAGAACTACTTAAAGACATGAATCAGACAGAACCTGCCCACTACCTCACTAATTTCTTAAGAATGTCATCACTTTTATAGATTTTCATTTCTCTTATAAGAGAATGCTTATTAGTAACATCAAAGTTCGAAAGTAGTATAATTACAATTACTTTTAAAAACTTCAGAATTTATTATGATTCATAACTGTGGAATATTGTGAAGACCTTATAATGTACATACTATGTATCTTTTTGGTTTGTTGAATTGTGTGGCATTTGAAATTTTGTTAAAGAGAGGACCAAGATATATATTTATTGTGGAAACAAAATAATTCACTGATGATCTGTAAATGAATTGCTAGTTAATTAAATTGCTAAGTTGTTTAATTTCAATAGAATCATTAGTGATTAGCTGACTCAAATTAATCAATAAAAATTTAAATCTTAGAATAAATAGAATTCATTTATGTGCAAATTTATATACAATGAAAACTATTTCACTAATATTAGTAGCAGAAAACCAGACAACACAGAAATATGTCCTTAAAAGGCTGTATAGAATATAAAACACAAACTAATAACATTCACTGTTTTCCTGGTGCTAGAATGGAAATTGATTTGTGGTCACAGACCTTAGATCAAGTTCAGTATCAAAACCACCCCAGCACAATAATATTAAATGAGAACATTTATACATGGTAAAGAAATGAGATTTGCAATATCCTGGTGAGCTGAAGGCAAAGATATTTCCAGAGAAAACTGTTACTTTTTCTCTCCATACTGAGTTTTGTTCAATGATGAGAAGTGACTAATAAGCATTCACATACCAGAGGTACATAGAGGTTCATCAAAACGTCCACACTATAGCAGGAATCAGTTTTTTTTTTTTCAATTGTGAAGAGACTTCATGCATGTAGAGGTCAGCTGTTTCCCAGCAGACCATACAAGGGCAAAAGAAATGCCAGTGCAGAGAAAGGCTAAGAACAGAGTGTTACTTGTACTCCAACTCTAGAGATATCACTTCTGTTAAGTTCTGTGGCCTTGGCAAAATCAATCATTAAGTTATACCTAGTCTTTATGTATTTTGTCTTGTTCTGTAAATCCATAGCTTAATTGGGACACTATACAATGTAGTCTAGTGACATTAATTAAATGTGTTTTAAAAAGTGTTTGCAACTTGGTGGAACTGTGTAGTGTTCTGATTTATTTTATATGCTCCACAACTAGTTCTCATTCTTCTAATGAAATGCATTGTATCATGATAGCTAAGTCATTTAACTCTAAACCTAGATACTTTTACATTCACAAAGCAATATAACTTTGGATTATGATTTTTATTTTGTGTGTGATCGCTGTGTCTAAATAAAATGTTTGACTGGTCTTTGTTATTTGTTTACCACAGTGTTTTTATCTAACTACCTTTGGACTAAAAGGGGGGTTGCTGCAACCACCTTAGAGCCCAGTGATTTTCACAGGCTCTAAAGAGAAATGTGCTCACCATCTCGCAAATTAGTTGCAATGATAACACTCTCATGTTCATGCTTGTGTTTCTTAGTTTGCTTCATAGACCTCATATTAAAGTTGTAAATTCCAAGGGCATATTTTTGACCTACAATGCGATTCTTAATTTTTCATAAATAGTGATTCAATGAAATATACAACCTTCAATGTTGCATTTTACAGATGGTTCTTATTAAAGTGCTCACAGCTTCTCTTCTGGTTCCTAACAGATGCATACACAACCTCAGAAGTCACTTATATTTGGACTTACAATGCATCTGATTCAGTACAGGTTGCTCCTGATGGCTCTAGATTAAATCAGTATGATCTACTGGGACAATCCATTGGGAAGGAGACGATTAAATCCAGTACAGGTTAGTAAAATGGGCCTGAAGAATTCCAGTGCCTAAGAAATTAATATGGGAAAAGTCATTGTAAATGTGTCAGATTTCTTTAAAACTTTGTTCTTGAGGTCCACAAACAGCATTGACTACTAAGGAGATTTTAAGACATTCAGAAACTTAGTCTGCACCCCTTACCATATCAGGCTCTGCATTTTAATAATATTCCAAGGAGATTCATATGTGTATGAAAGTTTCAGAAGCACTAGTCTAAAATATACTGCATATTCAAAAAGTGTTTGTATTTTCGGGTCAGTCAATTTTAGCATTTATTTTCAAACTAGTTATAACAATTTCACTAGTTTTCTAATTTTTTTCTTCCTATTCTGGTTAATTTATGATTATTCAACTCACAATTTATGGATAATTACTACTGGCCTGTGTGGAAAAGCTGATTCCCTTTCTAAGGGCCACCCTCATCCAAGAAGAAAAGTAGCTATGTGGACTAATTATTTTATATCTGGCAATAATTAAAACCTTGGGAGAAGGAAAGAAGGTGGATATGAAGATCAGATGGAACCGACTGAAGAAAATTAGAGTAGACATGCAGCAGAGAGAAATTCAGAACTGGTGATGGGGTGAAAAGGAAAATCTGGGTCAGAACACCTGTTTCAGAAATGAGGCCAGAGATCAACACTGATGAGCAAGGAGGTTGTAGCTAGATCAGTCACAGCAGAGATGAAGTTAACACCAGTGAGGATAGGAGACCTCAGAAAGCAAGGTACTCCCTTGGCAGAGAACCTTCAAGAATTCTAAATCCTGTTTGTCAGTAGTTATAACCTAAAGAGAAAAGTGAATACCATATATCATGGGACATACATTACAAGTCTCATGACTATAGAAATTTTCTTATAAATACTGTTATTGTGATAATGAGGCATTTCAAGTTGGTATGATTTTCAGGATATGTATGAGCATTATTATTTTTAAATCAGGGACTCTTTAATCTTTTCCATTTCCAAAATGTTCCGACTATTGACTATTATCATTTCTTAAGTTTCTTAAATTTTTCTTCCAGGTGAATATACTGTAATGACAGCTCATTTCCACTTGAAAAGAAAAATTGGGTATTTTGTAATTCAGACCTATCTGCCTTGCATCATGACTGTCATTCTCTCCCAAGTGTCATTCTGGCTTAACAGAGAATCTGTGCCTGCAAGAACTGTGTTTGGTGAGTGAATACCTGCACATGTCTTAGTACAGCACATTGTCATCAGAGTGTACTTTCAAATTTTTATCTCTCTTGATTCTCACACAAAGTACTTTTTAACATGTGAGGCATGCAGTATTGGTTTTGGATTATAGATGAGGAAATCAGGCTCACAGAGGTAAAATAGTGTTACACTGCTCATAAGGAATGGGAACTGTACTCAAATATCCTGGAAATGCATGCAGCATTTTTTTCCATGTTGCTTCTTAGCATTTGTTTCCATGTTAGTGCAAGAAGAATTTTCTTAGTGGTTTTAATTCAGAATACACCAAAATAGCATATTTGTAGGCTTTCTGTGTTTCTTTAGCTTTTGTTTTTAGATGACAAAAGATTTTTGGGTACTTTGAGAGAGAAATTACTCAGTTCTATTAATGTGTCTGATTTTCTCAATTTAAGCCGTACAGTGGATTTTTCAAATTTAGACTATGGAATATATATTTCTAGGCATGCATTGCTTTTTATAGAAGACAGCAATGTACATCCTTCTTAGGAGAAGTAACTGATAACTACCTTAATTAATATTTGAAATAAGTCTTGAATAATTGGTAGGAGTTTTCCAAATAGATGAGAGGAGAAAGACTCCTAGCCCAAAAAATGGATTGTGAAGTGACATTGTGGATTGAATGAACATGGTATATTCAGTGACAGTGTTATGTTTCAGTGCAGATAGAAATATAACTTGAGGCCTAGATGCAAAGGAACTTGCAGATTATGATAACAGAATATACCTTTATCTTATAGATATGTAAGTCTCTATAGTATTTGTGGCATCACAATTATCTGTAAAGCTCTCAGAACAATGCTTGTAATTTAGTAGGTGCTACATAATTGTTGGTCTTTTTTCATACTTTATTGAGTTATGGCTGACATGCAAAAAGCTATTTAGTATGTATATTTTAATGAGTTAGGGGACTAGTAGGACTTTCTGGTGAATAATTAAACAAATTGCTTGGGATGGGGTTGAATGGTCAGAATCTTGCCTCTTTAATGTAGAATAAAGGGGCGCAAATAGATATTCTTGGTGTTTTCTATCTCCAAATCTTTGCCTATTAACACAAAAATTTTTCTTATTTCTTTTTCTTTGGTGGAACTAGGTGTTGAATCCAGAGCCTCATGTTTGCAAGGCTAGTGTTCTACCACTTGAGCCACTCTGCCATCCCTTTTGCATTTAGTGATTTTTGGCATAGGGTCTCTTGTGTTTGACCAGACTGGTCTGGATTATGAACTTCTTATATATGCTTCCTGCTTAACTAGGATTACAGAAGTGAACCTCTGTGCCTAGACACAAAAGTTTCTTTATCTTCAAAAAAGACTTTCTATTATTATGTTACTGGAGGAGCAATTTGCTTAGAAACTGTGCCACTAATTATAAACATGATTTAAATTGTAAGTAACATCTGAAATAATACTGTGTATTAAAATTACACCCAAGTTGTATGTGATTAATAGCAAAACTTTTTATTATTTATTTAGTTATTTATTTTAGTGCTTGGGGTTGCACGCAGGGCCTCACACATGCTAAGCATGCACTCTACCAGTAAGTTACACACTCAACACTAATAGCAGAACATATTGCAGATTAGATTTGATGAGTGAGTTTTAGAAAGGATTAAATGAATGCACATGCATTAAAAAAGGGAGGGAGAAGACAAGAGAATGAAGGTGGCCAGAAAAGAGCAACTTTTCATTTAAAATGTACATACCTTTTAACCTTTATTTATTATTACAATGGCAATCATGTTTTCTTTGTTTTGATATTATAGGCTTATTGTCAGTTCATTCCATTTCATAGCAGACCCATTGAAGTAGTTTACATAGTACTATAAAAGTTTGTTATTGTTCAAATGCATGCTTATTCAATATTTTGTTCTCAGTGAATAAGAAATCAATATTTTCCTAGCCAATAGTTGAATTATGTAGAAGAATATAATGCTCAAAATATATGGTCCTTTAATAGCTGAGCATTTAAGAAATAATGTACTAACACTATATCTAACAAATAAACCTCTGTCTTATACTAAAATTACATAGGAAATTTCAGGAAAATAATGGTCTTCAATTTGAATTGATACATAATTTTCAGTATGATGAAGATATGACCTATTATAGCATTGATATCTTCATCTTTTAATGCACTAAAGAGTTCAGAAAGGCTTCATGTGCATATTTCTCTTAGAATGCTGTATAAATGCTCATATTGTGGCACTAATTGCATATCTTTAGAGCTATTGTGTTTCATGCATGTCTCAATCTTCCAAGTGAGAGTTTCTGCACAGAGTGATTACCATAAGGGTTTATAACATTGTGCTATAAAATACATGATGAGTTCATGACACATAACAGGGTAGAGGGGTAATAAAGTGATCTTTAGTAATGGACGATTTCTGAGTGTTGAACTCTTTAAAGAAATAGAGTTGGAAAGTAAGGATATGTTTGATTCTAAGCATCACCAATGTGTTTCTACTATAGTGAGTACAAAATAACTAAACAAAGATACAAAAACTTATGCATATAAAAAACTATAATGATTGTACCTTTTTTTATTCATTTATTCACATGTGCATACATTGTTTGGGTTATTTCTACCCCACCTGCCCTCCACCCCCACACCCTACCCCTTCTCCCCCCTCGCTTCTAGGCAGAACCTGATATAATTATTATATCTTTAATAGGATGGCAAGTGAAAGCATTAACAGAACAAATGTGAACAAAGAACATTTCTAAAGAGATGGGTACAGTTATGGAAGGCTAATTAGGAAATAGTGAAAATGCTGATTAGCAAACCATACACAGAAGAGAGAATGAAAAAGAAATCACAACCTGAGAAAGCAGTGATGCATTGTTCATAAGTACACTATTCATGGAATGTTATCCAGAATGGAACATATTTTAGGCCATAAAACAATTCTCAATTACTTAAAAAAGATTCAAATCATAGAATCTTTTCTCTCAGAACTTTATAATGAAGATAGTAATCAGTAAGAGTGGAAACTTGAAATTTTACCAATATGTGAAAATCAACCACTCAAAGAAACAATTCATCAAATAACAAATCACTTAGGAAATTAGAAAATATTTTGATACATGAAAATGAAACCTCAGCATACTAAAACTATGGAATTCAGTGAAAGTAGGGCTCAGAGGAAAATTTATAGCAATAAATGTTTAGATTAAAAAGAAGGAAAGCAAAACAGGTTCTGTCTTGATGGTGGGTACCAGTCGGAGGGGGAAGGATAGAAGGAAAAGGGATCAGAGGGTAAATGTAGTGGAAATATTTTGTACATATATATGTAAACAGAAAAATGAGACCGTTGAAATTTCAGAGAATAAAGGAAAATGATGGATAGAGATGAATTCAACTATAACATATTGTAAGAAATTTTGTAAATGTTACAATGTACCCCCAGTGCAATAATAATAATAATAATAATAAAGTATAAAAAAGACAAAAACACACACAAAAAAGATAAAAAAGAAGATCTTAAATCAATGACTCATGTTTATATCTTAAGTGAATAGAAAAAATAAGATCAAATAAGAGCAAAGCCAGCGGAGGAAAGGAAATAATCAAGATCAGAGCAGAAATGAAAATAGGAAACAGAAAAACAACAGTAAGAGTCAAGAGAATCAAATGTTGGTTCTTTGAAAATATTCACAAAATTTGCCAACCTTAAGCTAGATTAATTAAGAAAAAGAGAAAAGACAAGTGGAAACTTTAGTTCCAACCTTACAGAAATTAAATGGAGTATAAGAAAATAATATGACGTGTGTGCACCAACAAATAAGATAATCTTGATTAAATAGACAGACTCCTAGAAAAACTAATTTCACTAAAATGAAATAAAAAAGAAATAAAAAACTCAACAAATTTAAAGTAAAGAAGTTCAATGAGTAATTAAAAACTTCCCTGTAAGAAAAGTCTAAGACCAAATAGTTTCAGTGAATTCTACCAAACATTTACAGAGTAATTTTAACACCAATCATCTTCAAACACCTATGAAAAATAGAAGTGACACATACATGAAATGATGTGCAACACCCTTGTTCATTAACAAAATGAAAACACAAACCACATTAGGCCACACTTCATACTCACTAGGATAGCTGTAATAATTATTTTAAGTAGAAAATAATGTGTTTCAGGATGTAGAAATAAAAGAATGCTCATATATTGCTGTTGAAAATTTAAAATAGTGCATTCACTGTGGACAACAGTTCAGCAGTTATAACAAAGCTAAGCAAAGAATGCCCTTCTGACCCAGAAATTTCCATCTCTGGTTTATCTCCAAGAGTGATAAAAATATGTTCTACTGAAACATGTACACAGATACTTACAGCAACATTATTCTCCATAGTCAGAAGGTGGAAACAAATGAAATGTCCATCAGTGGATGAATGAATATATAATTTATGCATAATGGAACATTGTTCATCCATTAAAAAGCATCAAGCACCCATATATATATCACATCATGAATTGAGAACTTAATGACAAATGAGAGAAGTCAGGCAAATAAGTCACATATTGTATTAGTCCTTTCATATGAATTATTCAGAATAGGTAAATCTATAGGGAGAAAGCTGGTTAGTGGTTGCTAGTGGATGTGTACAGGGCATATAGGATGAGCACTAAATTGGGAGAGGTTGTTTCTCTGAAAAAAGTTTTGAAACTAGAGGGAGATGTAAAAGTTTTGAAAGTAGAAAGAGATGGTTTCAGAAATTGTGAATGCATAAATGACACTAAATTTTAGACTTTAAAATGGTTACTTGTATGTTATGTGAATTTCCTTGCAGTAAGATAACTGTGAAAGGTCATGAGAGGGGAAAAAACACTTAATTTGTATATTAGCTCTTCCCTAGGATTCCAACTCAGAGGAATCGTCTCAGATACCTATTCCAAAGTTTGCAAATTATTGAATCAAAAGACAAAATATTTGATCTGGCCCCAAACAACAAAATTTTCATTCAA